AAGGGCCACCTGAATGCTGGAGATATGGCTGCTGCAAAGGAAGTCTTGCAGACCATGAACCAGGCATCAGGAAAGATGCTCGGGGTTTTAGGGGTTTTCAGGGTTACTTTATTTGGGGATACTATGGTACCCCAATAATGGAGAATCAAATGGAAAAGAAAATGGAAAATGAAATGGCAACTGGGGTTTTAGGGGTTTTCAGGGTTCAGAGGGCTTAGGCTTCACCTCCCCGACACTACAAGCTTTCAGGCACAAAGCCTTATTGTGAACGGCTTCTTGCAGTTGACAGGGTCGTTGAAAGGGTAACCCATATCGGTTGTTCTCAACATTATGTAATTATGGGCCCCTTTTGTCTATCAATAATCACCTAATATTCAGACCCTAATTTTGGGAATTACCCATGTGGTTGCATGGTAGTGTGCGGTCTGGCTTTAGGAGTGATACTTTCAAGCGTGGAGGGGATTTCTATTGTTTGAGAGTGTTGGGGTTCGTTCTGTTCTGCATGCAGTTAAAGGCAAGGGATCCAAAGTTGAGGGTGTATATCATTGGCATGGCCAGGGGTAGGGCTGATAGGGTTGGAGTGTGCAAAACTGCAAGTAGGGAATATATGGTTAGAGTTAGGGTTTCCAAGGTTTGCAAAGGGTGTGAGTAGCACAGTCACTGGCTTCAACAGATCCCTCGCTTCTTGCAGCACGCTTGGTAGCTCAGCTTCTTGGGGTGGTTTATAAGTGGCGGGGTGTCCGGAATCAGGCAGCTTATAGGGATTATAGTCCCCGTGAAGGAGATAGAATATGGGGTATATGAGGATCTCATTATAATATGCCCATGTGCAATGCCATATTCTATCTACTTGACGGGGACTCTACGTCTCGAACCTGTGAGGCCTCACCGCCAATCTATCCCGACGTTCGAACGGCCAACACGTGCCTCGGCAGCTCAGTGACAGGGAGGCGCTTTTTGGATCTTCTTGGGAGGCTGAGAGTCTCATGACCCATCTTCATGAAAGCTTCTCTTGACAGATGTCACAGACCCAGAAACCTGCCCACGTTAGCCTTTCATGGCTCTGGTGGAAGGTTTCTGCGAGGCTGCGTCAAGCTTGGGGCTCTCCCTGACCTGGACGATCCTTGTCTTGCTTTTGGAGGTTTGGCAAGGCACCCTTGATCCAGGGACCATTTAAGGACTTGGCATATCACAGCCTGGGCGATGAGAGCTGGTGATCTTTCCCGAAGGTCTTGGTGTAGACATGCGTCTGAGATGAGCGAGGTTTGCCTGGTCCTTGCTTTTCCGGCAGCGACTTGAGATGGCCATGTCTATGGGTGGTTTCAACAGTAACTGTCAACACTAGTCTCCGTTGCTTCCTCACAATGGCCTTTGACTCCACACCGTCCACCTGAAGGTGAATGAAAGGGCGTTGAGGGTACATAAGTCTTCTAAAGAAATCGCTGTGGGACCTTCATTATGTCCCCAGAAATCTCGAGCTTGCCTTGGTGGATCCTAGATTACGCCTCCAACTCAGGAGTTCTACGCAAGGCTGCCCGAGTGGTCCATTGAGCCGGACGCGGCGATGTTGAAGACGCTCAGCAGATCGGGTTGAACCAGGGCAGTTCTAAGTATGGACCCTCTCACCAGATGTGAAAAACATGTTTGTGACCTTAGCTGCAGCTGAACGTAAGCTGAACGTAGCTGACATTACTTTCAGCAGGTCCAAGGTTGCCACTGGTATATCCGTCGGCAATGCGGCTGATGCACTGTCAGCATGATTCTGAGGAGCTTCATTTGCTACCCTAAACCCCAGGAGCTCTGAAAGATTACTATGGAACTGTCAACAGACGGTGCAAGGTACAGGTAAGTCAGCTGAAGCTGCCTGCTTGGTTTCCACACTCAGCTCAGGTCATTCTACCTTGCGGCAGACACTATGACATGTTCCTAGTGCCACAAGTGTCTCTTGTGTTCACCGTAGGTGGACAAATAAATGCTCACCCTCCCGTCACGAAGTCATGATTGTGGTAGCAACAAGCGACTCAAAACCCGAGACGCTGCTCAAACCTCATAACTGCCCGGCAACCACCCACCTGAAACTGCCCTCCACGCATCCCTGAAGCCAGCAGAAGGATACTGGGCCAGGGCTTTGCTCAAGCGCTCCGTCTGAAACCGCTGCAGCAGCTGTGGCGGTTCGGTTGCACGTCATGGTCCTACCCTAGGATGCGTGCGGCTCTGACAGTACCTTCTGTGCGTTTTAGCACGGTCTGTGGATGAATTAATTCTAGGTGGGTCGAGAATTTGCTCCAGACATTTGTTAAAGGGGTCTTATAAAGGATCCCCGCAGTTATTGTAGACGACATAATTTTCAAACAGTTGCAGAAAACGTTCCCACCGAGCAGGGGCTGATGAAAGGAAGAAATGGGGAGGGGAGCGTGTTCGGGGGATGTTTTCGCTTTAACGCCTCTGCTTCCCGCACCCCAAGTCTTACTGATTTACAAGGCTATAGGTCATGCTATTTCTCCATGCTGTTCCCTACCAGATTCAGCTTCGTTTTTTTGTGTGAGGGAATGAGGGACCGGCTTTGCATTAGACAGATCTTTGCAACAACTTTCAGGCTGATGTAGGGGATCCCAATGGCTGAGGCGCCCCTCTCTCCCTGCAAACCTCCCAACCCCCACAGGATTTCTGGAAATTTCAGGCCAAATGCGAAACAACATTGATTGAGACGGCAGGCGGGAGATGGAAGGCAAAGACACTTCCTTGGAGCAGTCGCTTGCCTCAGATATTTTGTCTTGAACGAAAAGACCTCGTTCATTGCCGCGTGTTTGTTCAAGGGGTCATCTTTGCTGTGGCGCTGCTGTGAGCTGCTTATGCTGGCCTCCGCTGGTCAGATGTAAGCACGGCTTCTGCTTCAGAATCAAATCCGGCGGTGATATGTCCAAAACGGATGTCTGAGGTTGGATAATGCAGCGGGGCCCCTTGGCAGACAGCAGCACCACACCTGTCGAAGTGCTTCGCGACCATGATCTCATTGGGTGCAGGGCAGAGGTGTCGGGCAAGGGGGTCCAGCATCAACGAGGAGATTCCCCCAGACGGCTGCTGCAACCCCAAACACACGAATTTTTCCTGTCATGCCTACACACAGGGTCTGAACCTGCAGGAGTGTAATCCTTGCCTGAGTGACGCTTTGTTGCCAAGGCTGAACTGCGCCATTGCTCAAGTTGCCTGCTTGCTTGGGGCACGCAAGGCGTGAACAACTCCCATGCTGGCTTACAAAGTCTTCTGTAGCGCTGCAGGTTGAGAAGAAACAGTTCCTGTTCCACAAAGCTTGTTTTGCAAGTCTGGTAGAAAGACGATGAGTTTGCGATTCGAGCATTGGTGCAACTGCATTTTTCTCTATAGCTACTTCAAGCAGCCCCCTAATTCTAGGAGTAAACCCTGAATCCTAAACCCTAAAGTCTCTACAAGCCCTCATATAACCCCCTTTACGGAGCTTAGACGGTAGCGCATGTGTCGTTATCTTCCTCCTGTGCAACAGGTCGCGGACAAAGCCCTTGAGCGAGCCAGGAGCGCGCTCGCTGGAGAGCTACCTGGCATTAAGCATGTCGTGTTACTTCTTCTAGAAGTACTAAATAATAGCAACCATAAGAATACGATCCATAGGAAAAAAATACGAATAAACTAATCTAGACAGTATTTCAGTATAATACAGAAGCATACCTCAAAGGAAATATTTTGCTGCGCACACCTGCCAGAAACTCAAGCTCCAAGTGGCATAGGTCAACAGGTCATGTCTGGGAATTGCTAAGATTTCCGAGTTGGCCTGCACACGAAACCTTACCTTGCTTTTGTGCTGACTCTGATGCCAAAGATACTTGAAATCCTGATCCCAGCCGTCCCAAAGACACTAATCACTAGTCTGAACAGCAGTCAGAAAAGATGTAGTGGTTGTATCTCCCAGTCACCTCCTGAAACTATAGAGAAGAAGCTAGAGCCTGGAATCCTTGCAAAGGCTCACGGGGCAAGCTGAGTTTGATCGCTTGCGCCGGCAGGAGCTCCAGAGGGAGGCCAGGGCATGCGCGCGCTATGCGTTGCTTAGTTATGGGGAAGTGTTCGGGTGGGTGTGGGTCAGGCTTGGGGTTGTGGATGGGGCGGTGAGGGCTAGGGGATAAGGGGGTTGCAGAGCTTGGAGACTAGGGCTGTTGGGCTTTTAGGGCTTCAGGGAGTCAGTTTCTTCCAGCCTTGAGTGGATACTTGTTGATATATAGCAGTGGGTCGTTGGTCAAGCACTTCAGAAAGAGACCTCAACCTGAGTTTCATCTAACCTCCAACAAATTGGCGACTCAACGGGGATCCGTGTCGCCAAGCAGAGGTGTTCTGACACGTGATGGCCTCTGCGAGTGATGATTGCATTACCGCCTGACTCAGTGGCTCTTGTTGGGCCTTTTTTGCTTGTATTGCAGTTCTCTGCTAGTGGCCAGGGGCCGCGACTGCAAAAAAGGGGTGCTGGGCGGGTAACGCCTTAGCATGAGCTAATGTTGGCCTGCAGGTGACCTCCCTGAAAAAGGCCATGAAGGCCAGAGGACGGGCAGGGAAACCAGGCTTTGATCCCTAAGTCCTCAGATCGTACACTTTTTGAACGCATACCGTTGGACTGCTTCCCAACCTGTCCGTACATTAACTTTAGACTCCTAAAGCATGCATCGTGGCAAAGTTGTGCAGGCTTATCGCACCTTATCCTGTCTACCCTTATGGGCTGGAGAGTCGCTGCGCTGCACCCGCAATCTTTTTTCCATTGTCAAGGTTCTGGCCACAGCTGACTCAAAAAAAGTGAGGCAAGGAATTGCAGCCTGCAACTCAACTGTGGAGGTGCTCAACATGAGGCGTTTTCTCGAAAGAAACACAACAATGAGTGTCATCTTGAAAGCCTGACCTCGGATCTACCCACAAAAGACTTGTGATGAAAGCCATATAAGCCCTACCCTACCCGCAACCCTAGGGCCGAAAATGCCCAGATAATGAAGGCTGGTCCGTTCGACCTGGCAGCCGCCTTTCGGCGGCTCTTTGCAGCGTCGCCTCTGCGCCACGGTGCGGCGCCGGAGCCCGAAGCAGCTCTGGAGGTGGGAGGGAAAGCGTTCTTTAGGATTGCCTGGAGTTTCATGTATGGGCATTCGGATCATGCATGCGTATTTGTGGGGACAGAGGTTCTAGAGGGATGTTCGGGGTTCATATACTAAGTGTTTCGCAAGCTACAATCTACAGTGACCATTTACATGCCGAACAGCATCGAACCTAGCCAGCAACCTCAGTTCACTATTTAAGCGCCCCAGAACCTGTCTCCAAAGCCCTCACTGCCCCGAAGCCGCAGTAGAAACGGAGGCGCTGGTACGAGGCTTCGGGCTGCCGCAGTGTTTCAAGCGAGGTCTCTGCACCGAGGAGGACATACGGGTAGATGGGATTTGACGAGGCGTGTTGGTGCATGCCAGCTTGCAAGAACCTAAATAAGCTCATGAGGTTTCGAGTTGCAACATCTTCTGCATTGTCATACGGAATCCAAACGCCATTTGGAGTGTGGGGGTGCAGTGCGCTTTCGAAAAATGGATTTTGCCGGAATTCTGTGGGGCTGGGTATGATGTCAGTGTGATCTACTGATGACATGGGCTCAGCGCTGGTTCAGGTTTGAGGGCGAAGTAGTTACTTACATCGAAATTTGCGTCTGTATCCTATGCAAATCCCGAAATCCACAAAACTCCTTTCACAGAGCCACAAGCACCTCAGCAATCCTCAGCACCCCACCCCTATATCCGAAGCTCTCCAACCCTAAAACTTTAAACCCCTAAACCCTAGCTGTTTGCCTTGCTTGCTCTTTTTAAGCCCAGGACTTCCAGATTCACCTGGCCCGGTGCCTCCGCGGCCAGCGCCTCCGCTGGAAACGGATCTTCGAAAGTCCAAAGCCGACATTCTTGGAGGCCCATAAGCAGTGTTTAAGGGCTTGGGGGGATTGAGTTCAGAGTGTTTGGGTAAGCGGTTAGCGGTTCAGGGCTTCTACGGTTTGGGGGAAGCAGGGAGAGCTAAGGCTAAGAAAGTTCAGGAAACCTGAAAGAAGAAGAGGGACATGGGTGACATTCCATTAGGCGTTTTGCACCTCCGCTGAGGTATTTGGGCTAAAGATGCAGTTGCCAGGGAAGTGAGAAAACAAGGTGAAGATGAAGAGTGTGTGGTGTATTCAGGCTTGTGGGCTGAGAGGCGGCTTTTTGGGTTTAGGGGGTGCATTCGCAGGGTAAGGATTTGATGCATATAGATGTGAGAATTCGAAGGTGTGGGGTAAAAGCTTTGGTGATTATTTTCCTGAAGAGGACCCCGACATCTTTAGAGAAACAGGTACAGAAGCCGTGTAGCTCTTCAAGACCTGCATCTTAGGAGCCCAGACCCTATTTATCTCTGTCTGTTCGTCCTTCGTCCATCCCTATCAATCAGATTTCCTACAATTCCCGTAACCCCTGCAGCAATCCCTTTCGAAATGAGCTGAGTCCAGGTTTGTTCGGGTACTGGCGACTGGGTCGTGGCCCAGGCGAAAGCGGACTCAGGACGAGCCAACTGGGTGGCTAGTGCCTGGGCAGCCAGTCCGATGTACCGGTGTAGATTTTAGGAGATAAGCTCAGGGTTTATGTGCTCAGAGTTTAGGAGGTTGCATACCAAGGGGTCCTATTCTGATGGCCACCTGAATAGGATGGGCGTCGCAGATTTGCGGTATGTCTGTGATGACGAACGGAAGTTGAACATGCGCAAGTTCAGGGCAAATAGCCTCCTCCCCCAAGCGCAAGCGAGTTCATTGACAGCTACTGTAATTCTAAAGCTTACTTGATTCCTTAGATACGTGGGTTGTACCGAGTTCACGGAGGTCACCATGAGCAAAGACCTGGCCCCAGCCAGACGCAGCAAGACCCACATAGTACAGCCGTGGGTATGTTCAAGCTCCGGACTGTTCCCACAGTTGAGTTGTAGGTTGTGTCAAACGTGCCTGAGGCTTTCATTCCAGGACACACCACGCCCCAACTACATCCCATGTTGCTGGGGTGGGTGCAGGCGAGCTGCGGTACGACCGAGTCTGGAGCATATTGACAAAGGCGGGCGCGAAATGCGGGAGCATTACTGGTACATGGGAGACAGTCAACATCACCGCGAAGAAATATCGGAAGTCGTTCCAAAGGCTGTCATGCATATAAGAAAACATCCTGAAGAGGGCTACGTGAATCATGGGCTTGTATGCAGCCGGCTGTTTGTCGACGATTCGGGCATACCCGGGATCTCTCGTAACACTCGAGGCCACTTGGGTTTCAGTTTGTTTCATATTGCAATGTGCTATTAGGCCATCTTCGCAAACGTGGAGAATTTGGCTGTGATTGCTGGCTGCTCGGTGGCCAAAGATTTGCTTCAGGAAGAAGGATGTGAACTGTTGGCAGGGTGTGTTGTCCAATGCTAGCTAGCAACAAGTGCCAATGTGTATACCCTGGAGTGCAAGCGTCAGATCACCTTCAAATTGGGCTTGCTCTTCTTCAAGCTCTCATGCTCTAAGGTGATGCTGGAACGGTGTTGAGCGAGTGGGTGCTGCCCGGAAGCGTGGCAAAGGTCTGCGTGCCTTACGCCGCATTCGGCCGGGAGACGTCCTCGTCACAGTGGTGAATCTTGATGAGTATCTAAAACGAGGGTTACGCAGGGTCTTTGAGGATTAGTCTCAATAAAGCAGGCGAACTCGGAACGTTCTTGGTCTTCAAGCTTTGTTGCGTCGACGCGACCCGTCTTCGTCAAAGGAGGCTACATTGTCGCTTGCGCATATAATGGTGGAATGGCAGAAGGCGACAGGTCCCGGCAGTCAAGATGCTGGACAGTACTTTCTTGTGCAGACATTCCTGACGTTCCTGCAAGAATGATGTCGTTTTGCGACTTTTAGCGACACACGGAGACACCTACTGCTAGCAGCGGTACTAACGACATCAAGGTGAACTTCCCGGAGCCACCACAGACAACCCGCTGCCTGGCGCTGAAAGTTGTCTGGGGAGCCTATCTAACTGTCTCGTCTAACTTGCAATCCTTAATAGTGGCGCACCCACGGACCCGACTAACGGTCCTGGTACAGTGCTTGTATGATGTCGCATACCACGTAGGTGTTTGCCGCTTCCCCAAAATCAGATCTCCACTGGCATGTCTAATCTAGTCTCTACTTAATAGAGACACTCCCTAAGCTGAGACAAAAGAGTACATATCAACATCTACATTGAAAGCTACATCCACATCTGTAAATCTATGTCTAAATGCATATGTACAGACGTGCCCGCGCAGCCGGACGAGTTATATAGGCGGTAGTCAGTCAAAGCCGGCTTGGATTTGTGCTTGCTGCTGCTAGTTCTGGTACTGCTGCTTTCTAATATTAGCATTTTGCCCCCTACAGTCGCTTTGGGATTCGGGTTTTGGCTGTGGCTCCTAACCTCTTGAGTTCGCTTTACGCAGCTGCCACCACAATAGTTGCCAAAGAGGACTGACCATCGTGATTAAGGGTTTAGGGTTCTGGGCAGGAAGAGGCAGTTATGATAGGGACAGCAGATACATGCTTGCTGCATGCGATTGGATACTGGTCTGCCTATGACCATGCCCACACACTGTGGTGGGATACCAAAAGCCCGGACATGGCCTGAAGGTTCAGTAGCTGCCTTTACAGTCTGCAAGCACAGCTAAGGCAATGATTCTTGCCTGCACACAAGACGTCCGGCACTAAAATTTCAGGTGTAGCAAGGCGCCCCAGTACTTGTCCACCTCCTCCAACCTGTTAGATACCACCTCTTTTTTCAAGGGACAAGATGGCATGACTTTTATGGGCAAGTTGTGACAAGCCTTAAAAGCGCAGCTTCCATGCGAGGAGCTTACAGAATGGGATTGTACGAGTAGCCTCGGTGAGCATGGGGCTTCTTTGAGGTAATTGCCTGCAGTCGGTATTATGACCAAGGAAATGTTGCTCTTCAAAGAGGGGGCATTTGTTGAGGAGGCAGAGGGATGTAGAGGGCACGTGTTTTGTCAACATTCAAGAGGATTTTTCACGTAATGTACAGCACGTGTATGAGCTTATGCAGTTTAAGCACGCGTCTTATCAAAATAGGTTAGGTATTCGAGGGTCACCCTTAGCCTAGAAAGGCCAAATGTACTTTGTTACATGTCCTGTGAAAATGCGTTGGCTGAGGCGAACTGTGACGATGCTGAGTCCGAGCTGCACTTGCCTCCGGGACCTAATTGCAATAACAGGACACTTTGGTAACCCAGGCCCTAAATATTAGGACCCTGTAGCCATCATATGATTGCACAAGATCCTGATTTGCGGGTTGGGTTACCAAAGCCTTGTTGGGGGAACAAGAGAGGCCGAACACATGGATATGGAGGGGAATACGTAGTGTAGCCGATGCACAAAAGCTGGGCAATTTAATTTTAAGGCGGCCTCCCCTGACCTCACCCTAAATGATGGTTTATATAGGAAATAGTACCCAAAAGGGGATAAATTACCTTGCAGAAGGTGCCAAGTAAGATGTCCAACTACAGCTGCAGATATGTGCAAAGTTTACTGAGCACATGTAATTACATGTGGGATCATTTCATAGTGATTGCTACTGTGGGGGTTATAGCAAACCGCAGACACGCGCAAGATATCATGCCAGAATTGCTGTCGGATGCCTTTGCTGGCATTTTAAAAGCACTGGATACCGTCAAAGGATTCCGCCACACTTCCTTCTGCGACATTGTGGACTAGAGGTATGCAAAGCCTATTTGGATTTGCTGTTGATGTTTTGGATATGCATTGCAGAGGCTGACGTCAGACTTCTTTGAGGATGTCCACAAAGCGTTGAGTGATGGTGGCGTTGAAAGCTCAGCTTTTACTTGTTGATAGCTTGGCTGGTGTGCCTCAAGCTGTAGGGGTCCTTCTCCGGGCCCCGCAATGGAGCAGGCTCCCTCTGAGATTACGTCCCTTCAAGGGACGACATGTCTGCATGAGATGCCAAAGCGATCCAGAACAATGATCCCCCTTTATACAGAGCCTCCTGTCACGGAAGCCATCAACTAGTGGTGCTTTTGCTGTGTGTCTCGAAGACCTCATACAGACTTTCCCTAAAAAAGCCGAATCCACACCCAGCGGGTGACTCCCAGCCCTGCCCTCAAGGTGAAGCACACATGGTTCAAAGACGTGAATGCCCTCAATCATTTCAGGCCTAAAGGTCCTAAACAAACCAGGATTGTCTCTGGTATGGAAAATGTGATGATCAGGTCTTGACGATTTTCTCCGACAACGAGGAGTACATGCGGTCCTTGGCGCGGACCATGAGCACACTGCCAGCACTACAGCTAATTACAGGCGTCAGGATTTTGTCAAGGTCATTCTTCGAACCATCTCATGTGCGTGCTGATGTGAACTCATTTGATTGACATTTGTACTTCTCAGCGGAAAATTTGGGTTTGATGTATCAGTTCCGTGTGTTGGCTGCCAGGCCCTCAAACCCACAGCCTATCCAAGACTGCAAACCCCGAGCCCCGGGCCTCATCCACACGCTTGTCCCCGATGGCTCCCATCTGATTTTCGCCACTGCTTCCCATACCACGAAGAAAACTGTCTCTAGTCGGCAACCGCTTTTCGGTAAGATGGAATAATCCCCAAGCCTTATTTCAGGTGTTGCCCCCATAGCCTTAGAGGTGACCCCCATCTGAAGCATATGATCCACATCATCCCGAATGCTAAGCCCTTGATACAAAATCCCCTAAACCCTCTAGACCCTAAACCTTAAACCCTCTAAACCTTAAACCTCATAACCCAAACCCTGAACAGACAGGTCTCCTCCGCCGGGGCACCAGCCGGCTTTTCGAGGCCTCAGGCGACGTGGAGGCCGACCACTTGGAAGACGCCGCAGCTCGGGATCAATGGATGTCGATTTTTGAGCAGTGTGGGGCTTATGGTGTCAGATATATTCGGGTTTGGGATGTGCTCACATTACGGGTGCGCGTTCGTCAGCCCACCTCTCGATTGCCTTGAATGAATTCAGGGCGTAGTTCGTCTGATGAAATTTAGAGGGGCCAAGGCGGCACCGAGGGCAAACCAAACTCCCCTTCCCTCGGAGTACCAGAATATTTCTTATTGGGGAGGGGGTTATTGCAAAGAACAACAGTGGGTAAGTAACGCTAAGTAAGTTCTAATTCCAATCTACTTACAATCATTTCAAACCCCCTAGCATCTCTTCTGTATTTACAAGCCTCTACTGTCCTGAGAACTTCCCCTAATTCGGTATTCCGGCACCCCTTCTAACAAGTAGTCTTGGCCTTTTGTAAACGTAATCTTTTGGGAGTTTCTGGAAGTGGGTATCTTCTTCTTTAGAAGGTTGGGGGTTGATTTGCAGGTGGAACGGATTAGGTGTCGCCAACGGGTCAGCAAGGCTCACAGATTGAATTGCGCCTGAGGCTTGAGCCGTATCGTGGTCACTTCCCAGGCCATCTTGGGATGGTGAGCCAATATGACGTGAGATTGTCAGACAGAAGCTGAGTCTGACCCATGTTGATGTTCATACCATAATGCAAGCGTTGCACTACGGAAAAGGGGGCATGGCAGAGAATGTAATAGCAGTTGCTCGGGTGTGGTACAGCGAGCAGTTACAATCTTTTGCATGCAACCTTTCCCCTGAAGCCTAAACCCCAAACTTCCACCCTAATGCTATTATACAAAAACCCTTTCAAACTTGATAGTAAAACTTGCAGATGCAAAGCCAAGGAAGAGATGTGCGGCCTGTTGATCTGTAACTTGGCTTAAGGCTTCTTGGCCCACCTGCATGCCAGGAGCCCAAGTAAAGTCAGGCTGAGCATCTTGTTGGGGAGTTTGTGAGTCCATGGGTCATAGCCTCATAGCACCACTCTTTCGGGGTCCCACTGGAGGTTTGACGACTATCCCAAAACAACGCGAAGAAAACCTCGATGAGTTGTGGAAAGCTGCTTACAAGTTTCAATGCGTTGTGTTTTGAGTATTACCACTTGGGGAGCCTGCAATCCAGAACTCGCCCCAAGACACACAAGAACAGTAGCTTGATTTTTGAGATGGCGTGTCTATATGTATACACCCGTGCGCAACTGGCAGCAACAAGCACAAGAGTTTTCATGTTCCCCTTGCGGGGAGGCATATTTGAGCTATAGTGCGAAGTCCTTAAAGGGGGATAGATAGGAAATTATTTAGGGGTCCTCGTATTGGGCTTGGTATGAAGGGGAGAAGACTATAGCTCATTTAGCAATTTTTCCTTCTTTTTACCAAGACTTGATGCAGACATCTCAAAGCTTCCAGGCAAAGGATGCCCCGGCGAAGCCGAAGGCCACGTCGCCAAGGCGGGCTGCCTGGGCTTGAGATGGCGGCTTCCCCAAGATAAGGGGTACCATTTTGGGGTCCTTATAATGAGGACTGCAGTACATTGGGGTCTATATTGGGGTCTTCCTATTTTGGGAAACTGCCAATTCTTATGACCTTTTGACAGCCTCCGCGGATACAAGCGATGTTGCGTCGTTTTGTTCAAGAATGTTGGTGGGGCGCGTTCATAGCACACAGGCTTCCAGACATTGTAAGGGCT